CAACAAAATACCAAACACACTACGATTGAAATACTAAATACCAAGCTGGTATCGGTTTGGTATCGGTATACCAAAAAGTTGGTATCCGATTGACATCTCTAGTAGGCTCCCACTTCAGCCGTAGCCTGGGGGGTGGGGAAAAGATGGCCGGGAGGAGGAGGAGCCCTCCTGTAAAAGGGAATATGGGCCCGTTGGAGGGAGGCCTGAATAAAAAAATGCCTTTCACAGCATATGCCAAAAAGCGCCCAATGTAAGCAATAAGAATGTTTTTCTTTTCCGTTATACATGAAGTGGTATTTTATTGTTTTGTGCCCGTCAATTCGGTCATTATCACGTCAGAAGCATCGACCGAAGAAGCCACAAAATGCCGCTTTAACGGCATTCTTGTCTCCTGACTGAACTGACTGATATTGATGACAGAGTTCGGCCTGCACCGCACATCCGTCTTCGTTCAGTCTGCCGGCCGCCCTGCCCCGGCGTCAGCCGCCACACGGCCGCCGCAGCCGCGCCGGCGCGGCCGCCAGCCGTGCCATCCCGCACACATCTGACCCGCATGATCGTCCGCGTTATGCTTTACCGGACGCGGCTGAACAATTTCCCGGCGTGCCAACTCTCTCGGCTCGCTCGAGCGCGCGGCTCAGCGGTGATATATCGCCGAGTCGGCCGGAGTCGAACCCTAAATCAGCGCACACGCGACCCGGGCGCCGTCTTTGTAATTCATGGACCATTTGCTGCCATCAGTGGAGGGCCCACGGCCGCCAATAACCTGCGACGAGGCGACGCGCTGCGCCGGATGCCCGCAGGCGACGGTCGGCGCCCGACCCGGCGCCCGGAGCGCTCTGATTCCCGGCCCCGGGCGACGGCCGCCCCCGCCCCGGGCGACACCGCCGCCCCCGCCCCGGGCGACACCGCCGCCCCCGCCCCAGTCCCTGGGCGGCCCGGCGGGGATGTCGGCGCAGCGGTCATCCCGCTGACCGCGGCGCCGACTCCTGCCGCGATGGATGAGCGCCGCGCCGGCCATCAGGGCCGCGGGGAGGGCGCCCGGCCCGGCCGGCACACCGACCTTTGTCCAAAGGTGACCGACTGTGCACCGCAGCCCGCGACCAGCTCTCCGAGAAAACGAATAGACTGCAGCCAGCCGTTTCGCTCGTTAGGGAGAAATTATGAGCGCTTTATGCGCGAATAGAAACGGCACAAAGGCGACACGAAGCACCCAGACGACGTGTTAATTTCGAGAATGTCACTTCATCCGTGTAGGCTAGCAAGGAACTCAGCGCATTAGCAGCGGGAGAGGCAAGACCTATTAAGCTGTTTCGAAAGTGGAAGTCAAGAGGCTTCACTTAAGAAGACAGGCACATGGTATGTCAGCTGGTCACTGGTCAGCCATTGTGCTCGGGATATTTCCAGCATACATATGACCACAGGTTCGGTCGGATCTGAAAGGCAGATACCGTAGGCACTCAAGAGCAGAAAACAATCGCATATACATAGGTAACTCAATTAGAGACTATTTGCTATCTTTCTGTGTAGAAACCATTTCTTTGAGTTCTTTGATTCAACAATTCAACAACTTTCAAACCAACATCCTTATCAGTTGAAACGTTTTTGTCGGAGAGAAAAAAAAATGTCTATTGTGGGCGCTGCAGGAAACATATGAGGAAAGCTGCACTTTCCCACGAATAAACGTACATTTGGAGACTACAAGCATTTACTGATTGGTTGCAATAGATCAACAACAAGCATTTTAATTAAACTGCAAAAAAAAGTGAAAACGAAACATTCCTTATCCATTATTCCCTTGCGTGAGCGTGAAACAATGCAAACTTACGGCAAAAGTTTTACCGCCGAAGGCAGAACGTCAGTCACGATCATATACAAACGAAGAATTAAAAACCGTCTGGAGCATATCTGGATGTCGAGTTACGCCAACGATTTGGGATTTAGAGACCGTTTGCATTGTGCAAGTTAATCAAGACGGTTTACACAGGAAGCATTGCCGACACTGCCCTGTGTCCTCAGCACACAAATGACGCCACCAGTTCCCGCGGTGACACGTGTCTGCATGTGTAATGTGTAGAAGTGCGGGTCGTCGGGTCGATACGTGCCACAATATGTGCAGGGGTCTGCGCGTTGTCGGAGAGATTCGCCGGCATTGCGGGTACACGGTGGCCGCTCAGCCGGTCTGATGTGGCTGCCACTCGATGGGAGCGTGATTCGATCCGGGAGAGCGTATCGGTCACCAGGAATACAAGATTTGTGTGCGTGCAGTGTTCGGCGCAAACTGTCACTTGAAACAATCTAAATAATGTTGCGAACGAACAGACTTCTAAGCCGGGGTTTCGTGAACTTACTCAAAATAGGACTAGGAAAAACTTCACTTAAGAATATCAACTTCATTTCTTACCAGCAGGACGAATATATTCACAAAAAATTTGATGTTTAGTAACATCTTAATTCCGTTATGAATAAGCATTTAAAGCGAAGGGAAAGTTGCCAAGTTATTTGTACATTTTGTCACGTGTCTAAAATGCCGAAGCTGTTTCAGCAAGTTCAAATGTCGTGCCATGCATATCCACGGACCATTACGGCACATTTCAACAGCTTTCCATGTTTCCCAGGCGGGCATTCATCACTTCCACCTCATCACCAGAAGTTGGCTGACCAAGTTGGTTTTCTCAGAATGACGTGGATTCTCAGTCAGGTGATTTCCACATCATTATTACTTCATCTGACTGTTGATAACGACTCAGTTATGGTAACGACATTAGTCTCCTATTGCAATAACGCACTGCTGAATACTATTCAGGAGCTGCTGTGATATCATTGATATGAATATCATTGAGTGATATCGGATATGAATGTCATTGAGTTATACGCCTTCTTGCCAGTTATTAGATATTATTAGATATTATTAGAGACCTTCCGGTATCTCATTATCGTGCCTTATGTGCCGTCAGCCGTTGTGAAAAATAAACAACAGTCAAATTTTTCTTCATTCAAGTTGTTTGCCTAAAATATAACATATTACCTGGTGATGAGAAACAACAGGTAAGTCATAAAAGAAGCTTATACAAATTACCCTACTCTGAAATATAACTCCCGTTTCTATGCTGCCGTGTCACTTAGCCAGTTGCAAAAAAAAAAAAATCTTCTTCACGGCTAAAAGCAGGACGTCAGTGCCTTTCCAACGAATCAGTCTACATAGTTGGCTTCCCAGTGGTTTGCTGGTACTCCTACAGTTTTCCAGGGGAGGGCAGCGATCAGACTGTTTACTCAGGCTACGCAAATTGACCGGTTACCTCCTGGGAAGATGCGTAACTACATGCTTAATTGCCTTAATGATGTTTGGGTGATTGATTGGATACCAGCGTGAGGTAGGCACTTGCGGATGAAGGATGTCAAATGCCCTTAACCTAGATGCCACTACATTCGCAATTTGGTTATTTTTGTGACTTGTTAATCGAATTGGGTTTTAACCCGCGCCGGGCCGGTGCTCGGTGCCAGCCGCGCCGGGGGGGGGGGGGGGTCTGAAACTCCCGCCGTCTAACTTGGCTCCTGGATCACGTTATAGAAACACACGGTAAAAGCATTCGAAAGAACATCTAAAATCTTGACGAAAACACTTAGTCATTTGTAAGGTCAGGACAAAGGTCAGGTCATCAGAGGTCATCAAAGGTAAAATGTTGCCTATTTATACAGTTTCCGAAAAACTGGCGCTTGAATCGGGAACCAATAGAGCCACAGCGCCGCGGAAAAGTGCATTCGATGGCCTATTTAACATTCCTTCTGGAGTGTGCGCTCAGATTTGACCTCAGGTCAACGGGTTAGCCTCCTGGGGAAAACCACAAAAGAACAGTTTTTACGAAAAACGCTTTTCTTATAACTTTTGACTCAAGAAAGGCACAACATTTATTTTGCCAGCATTGTGTTCGTCTCGACGAGACGCGTTGGATGAAAAAACTTGACTTTTAAAGGTCATTTTGAAAATTTGACTTAAGGACAAGGTCATGACCTGACCGGACTAGGTCATGTTACATGTCAGTCGATCCGTGCCGTCGACCTGTGCACACCTAATGTGTTTTCATCGCTCTAACATGTCTCTATAAGAAGCAATTACCGAAAAAAACTGCTGGAAACCTTTCAGGACCTGAGATGACCTCAAAAACATAATAAGAGGTCACGGGTGCATTTTTTTCGGATCAGTATGTCAATTTTACCTGTAACCCGATGTTTGACAGTGTTTGGAATAACTTTATCCCTTTGAATTTTCTCCCATTGACATATAGCTAATGAAGAAGGCGGAAAATTGAACTGACCTTAGATCAACGATATCAAAATTTAGAGGTATGCATTTCATACGTACTGTTACTTTCATCAATCGTGGAAAGTTTTAAGACACTCGCTCAGTCGGTGTAGCTATGACGAGCAAATTTAGTTTTTGCTGAAGTAAAGTCAATTGAAGTGACCTGGTGACCTGACCTTGAGCAGCCTGGATCTGAAATTTTCCCAACATGTGTAGAAAAGAAGAAAGAACAAACATGAAGCCTAAACCGCAATTGGTGAGACTGCATATCACAAGAACTAATATTTTCTCATAGTTTGCTTTGGACGGAACATATCACACTTCAATTATGGAATCAAACCACCGGTAGACCAAGGGCCATCATGGACAGATTAATCTATTAATGGTGACAAATGAAAAGATAAATAGGAACTGGAAGTTTGAAGAAGTTTGGGAATGCGTCCCCACCTCACTTATCCGGGCTTTCCGCAGATCCATCAATGGATCAAATTAACTTCATTTTAATGCATTTATTTTCCTTTTTATTATTGATCGTTACGGGCGAATTCAGCATATCAATCAAGAGAATAAATAAAATAAACATTTTGACTGCACAAAATAAACATTTTTGTTGCACAAAAGATGTCAACTAACAAAAAAGTAGTCATCCTACCAGCACTGGTAATTAAACGAATCTACAATATTTCTGTGGGCTCACCTCTGGCCATCAAGCTCGAGCAGAGCGTCACGATCAGCCGTGCCACCACAGACAACCACCGCATGGTCCGCTGCAGACGCTGTCGCCACTTCAGTGGAGCACCTCCTCTCGGGGACAAACCTTCCCTCCTTCGGACACCGGCCGGTCACTCCGGTACCACATCACCGGCGCGGCGCGTCCATCACCTCACACCAGCGGCGTCCGACGCCGGACAGAGAGCCTCGCCACCGCAACAGCCAGCACGGCGTCGGCGGCGTGGTGGCGGTGCTGGCCGCGGCGCGATCCCCGGCCGCCTGTTATCGACACTGTGCCGCCGCGCTGCCGCCGCTGACGAGCTGTCGTTGCCGACGGAGCCGCCGCCGCCGGCCGTCGGAGCCGACGACGGCCCCGCCGCGGCGCGCGGCGCGCGGCCCGGAGAGCCGCTTCCGGCTGTGATCCGGAGATTACCGACACCGGAGAGCGGCCGTCTGACACAGATGGGGGTTATCCGACACACGGGGATTACCCGACACATGGCCCCGACACCCGACATCAGACACATGTGCATCGTCCGACAGAGGGCATCACGTGTCGGATGTCGGGCACATCCAACCAACGTGGAGGCGAGCGGCTGACATCCGATGCGTGACATATGTAGCATACCAGGAATAACTATTATCTGACACAGCGGGACCGACACCAGACACAGGCTGCGCTACATCTGACACATCTGTCATAGGGCAGGGGTTGACATCTGACAACTGACATAGTGCGACTCGACATCTGTTTAAAGGGAGATAATGAGCTTTATTTTTTTCTTAAATAAAAATTATTCGATCTTAATGTTATTTTTACTGCAGTTTATTAAAAAGATAAAAATTTCCTGACACATATTCGTATGTGAAAGCTGTTTTTATTTTTACTAAAAAATAAGCAGTACGTACTTGCAAAACCCACTGAAACGCTTTGTCCTTCTCTTTCAAAAAGTCGCAGTGTACGGCGCTTTTGTTTCAAACAACGACGCGTTATTCCCATCGTGGCCATTCAAATCAAATGGAACGCAGCTACGAAATTTATGTCATCCGGTACTACACATGTATTTCGACTCACTGGTATTCTAAGAAAGGTAATGTATTTGTATAAATATATCAAAAGAATCTTTTGACATACTGACTAATGACATAACTTATACCAAATTCTTCCAAAAATAAAGAGCAAGACTGCGCTCTCATTCGTTCCTTATTTCAAATGAGAAATGCTGCAACTAAATTATGTATTGTCCGGTACCTAATAATTAAAAGCTTTCGTACACTTCAAAAAAAAATGTATAAGATAACCTTTTATTCACGAATTAACCATAAAGGCAGCAAACAACTAAAATAAAAATTTCAAATATTAATTAATTTTTACTCACCGATTTCACTTAAACCTGCAAGTACTTGCTCACCCATCACTACCAAGTGCGGAGCGCTTGAGCTACTTCAACTTAGAAAAAGCATGGTAATTTTGTGATTTCGGCAATATGCAATGAATTTACATTATATTTATACATTTTCTACTAAAAATTGGTCCCAACTTCAATAAAGTGGGAAAAGGTCATAATCTCCCTTTAACCCTCGCCGGCCGAGGGGGGGGGCGGGTGCCGCCCCCCCCCCCATAGGGTTTTTTCGCGATAGCTCCGACTACGCTGGCGATAGAGAGCTGAAACTTGGCATACCTGACCTTTGATCCAAGCCGCATCTTTTGATATCAACCGCATTTTTGGGTCAGGTCAGGTCACTGACCTATGACGTCATAAGTGAACCTCTGCACGGTCTTCAGATGTCGCAACTTCGCAACGCCCTCACTGCCAGAGGAGATGTCACAGGGAAATGAAACTTGCAGGATCTAGTATCCATTATGAGTCTCACAACTTATATATCTCGGATTTTTCCTAGAGGTCATATGAGGTCAGGTCATTTTCGTGACCTCACCATTATAAGTCAATGGGGAAAAATGAAAACTGTTATTCTGGCGCCGGGAATGATCTCCAACTATCTCAATCACACAGAATCGTGATTTGATGCACTCCTTGCAAGGTTAGATGCGTCACTTTTGCAATGTTGACCTTGTGTGACGTCATTTATGACGTCATCAAGGTCATATTAGTTTTTCGTCAATAACTCCTGATCAAATTGAGCTAGCGAGTCGGGGAAGCCACCAATGGACTCAAGAAGACCTGCCGAATCGAATGATATGCGACATGACCTCTTTCGACCAACTTCGTGACCTTGGGGTGCTGACCTGACCTTGACCTGAGGTCAACACCCCAAGTTGACCTGACCCGAACAAAAAGTGTATCATTCGACGCGCCTGAGCGAGGCAAACACGATGCTGCCAAAATCGCGGCTCTGCGGCCGTTTTTTGCGAAGTTATTCACCAAAAACTGAACCGTACCTTGGGGCACTTGACCTGACCTCAGAGGTCACCGGTTGACCTAGGACCTTAAAATCGGGTACCAATCTCTGCGTCTCGTAACGGCGCACACGCTCGTTTTTTCCGCGACGCGCTAGCTCCACCAGGGGCGAAACGGCGAGGGGGGTCGTACCCGCCCCCTTCCCCCTCGGCCGGCGCGTATGTAGAAAACCAATAGGTCCGGCGATGGTTAAGGCGCAGAGCGGGGATTGAGATCTGACAGATTGGGGACCTGAAACCCGTCATCCAGTTTACGAGCACATTATTTTCCATTGAAAACGCCGTATTCTAACATTATGGCACATGACCTTAGACAAGCATTTTAGGATCCAATACAAGTATTGTTCACTATATACCTGCAGACGTTCCCAGGATTGAATCATTATTGTAATATTCAGTGCCCTCCACTGGAACTGAAGTGGGACAATGGGACGTACATACATAGACGGATAGAGGAAGAGATGAGGTGTGACCAGCAGGAACTGCAGTGAGTAACTGTGATTGCAACGCGCTAAATGCACCGGAGTGTGCAATGTGTAATGTGTATTTGGCAGTTTCTCGCCAACCCAGCCGTGGTGGCAGTGTGTAGTTCGGTAATTCGTCAAATCGCTAGACTTTGGCTGGGCAAGTAGGCAGGCAGTTTTACGTGGCTCTGACAAATCATCAGCATTGAGTGGGTCATGATTACGAATTATCAAGCATGCTAGAGATGATAATTTAACGCAAGCTAAAGCTGACTGACAAAAGTAGTCTTAATTCTTAAGAAAATGGCCTGGCTTCCACCCTTTGTTAAAAGAAAAGGCAAAGCACACAAAAGGTGATTGATGGTGATAATAATTTATTTAGGAAGATCATATGACATAAATAGATAAGCGAATGCGTAGCATGCACGGAACAAGCAGACAGTTATCTAGCATAAAGACGGGCTCATGTATTATGTAAGCTGAATCTTGACTAGATAGACAAATAAGACATTCCCTGAGCTTAGGTTTAGCTGACACTAAGCTGGTCACAAATGAAACAGCTGCATTAGGATCATGATTTGCGTGTCAAAGCGTATTTACAGGGAGGGATAAAGGAAACATTTTCGGGTTTGTCAACAGTCCGCCATGTATCTGACTTTATTGAGCCATTCTTATTACGGAGCGAGCGAAGCGAGCGGAGTCTTTCCTTAGATTAACGGAAATTTCTGAGTATGAGCGGCCGGCCGGCCGGCCGGCCGGCCGTGCGGACGGTTTTGCGAGGCTTATATCTCAGCAACCACTTGACCGATTTACACGCGGTAATTTTTGTAGGGTAGCTTCATTCCTTCTACCAAGTATTGGACTATTCCCGATGCATGTGGGTGACCCATTATGCACGTGCCACGTGCAAAACGAAGAGGTGTCAGTTTTGTAATTGTTGCAATATCTCGGTAACTACTTGGCCGATTGCGCTGAAAGTTGACATGTAGGTAGGCACCCACTAGGCACTGCATATCCATGTGCCAGAGTTGGGGTGCTGCTGCACGTGCGCACGTGCAGGGGTCGTTTCCAGATCTCGAGAACGGCTGGACCGATTGCGCTCAAATTTGGTACACAGTTAGGGACCGGTTAGTAGGGTGCCGTGCACAAGTCAGTTGGGACCCATTTTGCACGTGCGCACGTGCAGGGTGCCGCTTCCAGATCTCGAGAACGGCTGGGCCGATTGTGCCCAAATTTGGCAAATCGCTAGAGACCGGTTAGTAGGGTGCCGTGCACCACTGCACAAGTCAGTTGGAGGTACCCCCTCGAAATTTCGCACGTGCAAGGCCCACCCTCTCGCTCGCTCCGTTAGTCGCCCCAAAAGGCGTTATACTGGTCCAAATAAAAACTACACCGATACGTCAACGTAAGCTAACGTTACAGCTTTTAACATATTTTGAAGAAGTAGATAACCAGTAAAATGTTGTTAATGAAATATGTGAGGTGAGATGTTCCAGAAAAATCAAATAAATGTCCGCCTTGAAAGTTAAGACCCAGAGGGCGTTACAATGATAACTATGCTGCGCAGTAGTAATTACAGCTGATAAGGACACCAAACTAGGCATTTTGCTCTGCTGACATCGACGCGAACTTTCGAGATCTCCCTTCTCATTCGCATAAAAGCTTTATACGGCCGAGTTAAAAAGTTTCGCTGAAGTGTGCAATATTCACAGCAGCCAGAATTCGTGCCGTTTCAGTAAAAAAAAAACAAGCAATTAGTTCAGCGTAGGTCACTGCGTGCTTCCAAGCCTATTTTCTCGTGGATAACACCCACTGGTTGACTTGGTCACTGTAAATGGATTGCAGAGGTGTTAAAAAATAGTAAACGCTCACCCACCGCCCAAACACCTCACCCACCATCCCATCATTGCACCTCCAGTCCTCCTACCGACCCAGGCCACGTACCGCATTGCAAGACCGCAAAGTCAAAACCTCCACAGCCACACGTCATCCCACCGTCACCACCCGACCATCCCACCACGGCAGCACGCCGGCCTTATTCCGATTGCTGACGACCGGCCGGCGGAAAGGTCCCGATTTGAAGTCGGCCGCCGGCCGCCGGATGAAAACAGCCGCCGTCCGCCGCCTGTTACGGCGCTCAGCGAGGCATGCTTTACTCACGGCCGACTGCCCGGGGGCGGTCAGTTGCCACGCCGCGCCGCGCCGCCGCCGGCGACTGGAACAGAGGTCAAGGACGACGAGCTCGTCCGACGCGATCAGCAGCCGATACCATTTCGACGGTATATTCCGAACTATTTGGGTTTAATTCACCCCACGATAGACTTCTGAGACGGCAGAGCGTGCTGTATCTTAGCTTTGTCGCCAAATGCAAGCCGTAAACTTGCATATAACAGCATAAACTTGCCCTTATTT